CATAAAAAACCTCATTCCATTCCTGATACGAATTTATTCCTCAGTTGTTTCGGGTTATGAGAGTATTACATTCTACTACAATTTACGAACTGATTGAAGAAAATGACGACATTCATGTTATGGTTTCATGAATATTTAGTTCATTACCAATTTTGATGGTCCTTTATCCGACAACAATTGATTTTTGAATGAAAAAAATTGAAATAATAATTAATTACGGAATTACTGAGATAGTGTCAGAAGATTCTTGAACAAATTCCTATACAATTTTTACCGTAGATTTCGAATCTGAGTTCGAAATTTTGGTTATTAGTATACAGGGTGAGTTATTCTCACAATAACTCAACATAGGGAAAAAATATTATTCCGGTCCTGATATTGGTTTCGATCAAAGGGCTACTTGGTGATACTATTCAGTGTAATTTGTGTACCAAATTTGAATCTAATCGGTCAATCCCTGTATTTGATATGGCGAATTGAATTTTTTGTCAAAATCCACAAATCACTCTGTATGTCAGTAACGAAGCGGTTTTGGACATCTGTTTATGGCATTTTGCAATCATATTGACAGTCCCTATAACCACACGAGTTTTGTCGGTTTTATCTCCGGACACCCTGTATACAACTTATTATCTTAGATTGATAAGTAGATTGAATAGATCGTGTCTATATAACATAACATCACATCACAATGTATCGAAATAAAAACTTAATCAACTACTTACCCAATAAAAATTAATGGGAAACGTGTACCTACTATAAAAACACAACGATAACCAACAATGAAGTCACTTTTGTAAGGTACTTGCTGTAAATTAATTTTCCCGACTGAAAATAAGAATAAGGAAGCATGCCGTTGACGTCATCGATATCGAACTGTTTTTTCCTTCTTTGAGGTGGGTAATTAATTTTGTCGCCATGGAACTAATTGGTTTACGAATGCTTAACGTTCTAGACGAGCTAATAAATTTAATTCATGGTCCATATCTTCGAATGCAAAATAATGTTCAAATGATATGTGAGACTCTGTATTAGTACTTATCACAGCGCGCATATTTTATTGAAAACATTATTTCATCATTTGAAAGTATTAACCTGGTTTAGTTCACTGTCATGAACCATTTTATCCAAGAAATCATCAAAATAAAATAATTATGTCCTTTGAACGAATGTATACAGGGTGAGTCATGACTAACCAGCCATGACTTAATGGTAGATAGAGGAAGTCAAGGAGAGTTGAAATATACCTACGTGAAAAAATATATTTTGCCTACACCTAATAGAAATGCAGGGTATTATTTGAATTCGGGGCGAAACTTTGATGAACGATATTTCAGGAACGTCTTGATGTTTTCGCCTAAAATTCACCAGCAATTTACCTCTACTGACACACCACACGATCTCCTACTATAGGAAAGGAAAATTCCAGTATCGGACTTAAAAAAACTCTTCTTTGTTTTTTCAAATGTCAAAACTTCGACTTTCTGAATCTTTTTTTTCCAGAATTTCATCAGAATCAAGAAGATCAGGCAAAACACTACAATTGTAGCTTCCCAGACGGCACAATCATATTCCATGAATATCCTATGCATATTGCGTTGAAATATTGCCATATGCCATGGATATTCCATGTCCTCCAAAACATATGATATGCATATTCCAGGAATATCCAAGGTCACCATGAAACATATGCCAGGAATATCTGTGAATCTTCCAAAAGAGATTATGGTGGCATATACTAGGAATATGTTTTTTGTATATTCATAGAATATGCTTTTCAATCATTACTAGAATGAAATATTTATATGAAATGTAATTTATTATGTAAAAGATAGAAATCAACATACAGAGGATGTAGGTTTGTTTAATACTTGGAACTTGCACTTTATATATCATATCATATGATTTTCTTCTTCTCTTGAACGGTAGCGGTGATGAATTCAACAGGATCTGCAATGATCATAACATAGCAAAAACTGAAATATAAAAATTGATTGAATTCACTCACCTTTGCTTTGGGCGTGCTACAAAAGTTGAAAGAACTAGATACTGAATTTGTCAACATCTGAGTTAATCAGCTGATTTCAATCTATTGTTTATTTCTTAGTCATGTTTGTATCTTCAACAACACGAATATTTCCTGGATTTTCCATTTGACAGATGAATAGATATAGGTAAGTACTGAAAAAAATGTGGTGTATCTACAGGGTGTATCTAAATAACAGAGAAAAATGTCAAGTGGTGATTTCGTGATGAAAATTGAGGTGGGCGTTTGGTAAGCATTTTTTTGAAAAATCTCTCCACGGAAGGTGAAATGTTTTTTTTTTCATTTCCTCTGTATATGACTAAAAGCACAGAACTTGTTAATATTATTCATCAATAAAACTATTCATTTTGGAATGTTTCCAACTCTGAAGTATGCTTAGAAGGGCTTGAAATATTCAACGCCTAAGATATTTTTTTACAACTTTTTATTATGAAGACTTTTTTTAAACACATGGCGAATGCTTTTATAGAGATCAACAATAAGTTAGTGAATGGATTGGGCTCTTTAGCTGTTTTTTTTTAAAGTTGTAAAATAAATATATTTCAACCCCTTCTAAGCAAACTTCAGGGTGTAAAACATTTCAAAATGTGTAGTTTTATTGACACATGATATTTACCAAGTTTCGTGTCTTCAACTAAATATACAGGAAAGTTGAAAAATAAAAACCATGTTTTTTTTCATCTTCGGATGTGTGTAACTTATCCAGGTAGAGAGGGTTATCAAAAAATTCTATACCAAATACCTTCATTCTCATCACAGAATCACCCCTTTCATTTTTTCGATGTTATATATAGATACACTCTGTATATGAATTCATTAATGTATAATCTTAGGTATACCTCATACTGGTATTAAGTGCCATTGATGAGTCTCCTTTTGTGATCCTCTTCAGTTTAATGGCGGCCAAAAGAGGAGTGCATCCTAAGTTAATGTTCCATTTTTGAATTGTAACTAACTTCAAACGTCTGAAACTTTATATTGATGTCAACACTATTCACAGTAATCGATACACATTCTAGCACTTCTGCTTAAACTAATAATTCCATGCTCTTCTCGTCTGTTTATAAAAGAAACTATCGCGGCATATTCGCGTCCATGTTGATATCACGTCCTCCACAAGGTGACTGTGGAATTTTGAACAAAAGGCGATGACCGACAGACTCGTGTCGTGTCCATTCGGCATAGGTCGACATTCCGACAATCTGCTTTTGAAATATTCCTGGAATTTTCGAAAAGCATATCTAATGGATATTCGATAAACATATTCAGGGAATATTCTTTGGGGATATCTAATGAATATTCCAAAAATATATTCCAGGAATATTCTTTGAGGATATTAGATCACGCACATATTCATGGAATATTCCAGGGATAATGCAATATTCATTGGAAAATTGGATGTAGTAGGCATATTCCATGAATATGAGGTGCCGTCTGGGTTTTTAATTGGTACGGCATACTTCAAAGGGATTGTTGAAAAAATCGTACAAAATATATATCGATAAACAATTCTATGATTTCGTACTGGCTATTGTAGTCACATCCTTCAACACATTCATTCAAATCAATTTCTTGCATATAGGGATATTATACGTCACCCATTTATGGCAAGCTTCATTAGAAAAACACGAGGAATCTCTAGCTGTCGCGTTGGACATATCGAAAGCATTCGACCGTGTTTGGCACGAAGGACTCCTCCACAAACTACCATCATACGGCTTATCACCTCAGCTATGCCATCTCTTATCGATTTTTCTTTCAGGCAGATCGCTTCACGTGGTGGTGGACGGTGTCACAGTGTATCGTCTGATACCATTGGCATCAATTCCGGCGTTCCACAAGGATCGATTTTGGCACCAACATTATTCCTTCTTCATATCAATGATCTGTTGGGAGTAACAACTTGCCCCATCCACAGCTTTGCAGATGATATTACCCTCCATACTGCGTTCTCTTCCAGAATTCCCATTTCTTCCCAGGAAACTAAGAACTCACGGCGCAGGCAGGTCAATGCTGTCAATGAGGATCTTGCTGAAATCACAGCCTGGGGAACCAACAACCTAGTTGAATTGAACGCCACCAAAACTCAAGCCTGTATTTTCTCTAGAAAGGCGGAACTCAGTATGCCCGATATTGTAATGTCTGGCTCCACCATCCCCCCCAAGCCCACCATATATATGCTCGGTATTTCCATCAGCAACACTCTTTCATAGGATAATCATGTCAGATCCATCGCAAAAGCTGCTTCACAAAAACTCGGATTCTTGTTCCGTGCGAAAAGTTACTTTACACCTCAACAGCTCCTCATGATCTACAAAGCGCAGATACGGCCTGTTCTAGAATACTGTTCCCACATATGGGGTTCAGCACCAAAACATACGCTGATGCTCTTAGATTCCATCCAGAGAAGAGCCATTGGCCTGGTGGGTGACGCCACACTCACTCACTCTTTGACATCATTGGAACACCGTAGGAAGGTCGGCGACCTTTCACTTTTCCATCGATACTTCCACGGAAAATGTTCTTCGGAAATCTCTGCTATCATCCCTTCACTAGCAATACCAATCAGACGAACTAGACAAGCTCAGTCAGCACATCTTTTCGTTGTCAACCCCGAAAGATATCGAACAGCACTTTATCAAGACTCCTTCATCCATAGAACGGCTAGGCTCTGGAATTCATTGCCTGCGGAAGTATTCCCAACAACATATAATCTCCAAAAGTTCAAAAAAAATTCCAATACCTACCTCCTGTCCCTATCCTCCCTATAGGAACGCACGATGTTCTCTGAACATTATAGGGATTCCTTTTCGTGCGCTCCAAGCGATAAAAAAAATCTTTTTTTTTTCTCAGAATATTCCAGGATATAGGAATATTCAGAGGTTGGGAATCAATTTCTATTCGATTTCATTTGAATCAAAGAAATTATATGAACGTGAGAATGAAACACCATCAAACTTTAGATTTTATTCAATTTTACAATTCATACTTCAACTTGAGTTTCGGTGAACAATTAATTACGTAAAATCCTAGAATTGGCAGTTATATTTACATCTATCCATAACACCAACAAGCAAATCAATCAATATCTACAAACAATATTCAAATACTTAACACTAAATCCGTTCAGATGGGAATAAATATTTTGAGCTTCAATTTGGTTGAGTATAATCATATAGAATTGGAATAGAGTTCAGTTGTACCATTTTGAAATTTCAAATAATGAGGAATGATGATACCTATAAAATAGCTGTTCCCTAGCACTAACTCCAAACGCCTTCATGAGTTAAAAATGAAAAGTTTTCGAGGTACTTTCGTTCACTAAATGTTTAAATATCGCTGCCTCGTGTGTAAATCAAGCACTCCATGAGATTCAAGACACTTGGTGAAACATCCCACCGTACAGTGTAGAAGTTTTGTGTTTCTAGTGAATTTAATAATGCATCAATGAAAGAAAAAAAAATAGAATCAGGCGTAGCTAATGTGTATGAAAAAACAAACTTTTACTCAATGGTAAAAACTTCGAGAATACATATTCGTGAGAATGATCGTTTCAGTACACTAATAAGTTAGGGTTTTAATATACAGGGTTACTGGTAATTTGATATATTCCTTTGGATATGTGATAGAGGAGAGGTGGTGAGGAGTGAATTTAACCCTGATATGCATTTTGCAAGAGTTAATGGTTTTTGAGATATTTGAATTTTTCTGTTTCCCTACAGAAGGTAAGCTTTGAGGGTTTAAAGTTAGTTACCCGATAAATTGTAAATACAAACATGTATTTTTGTTTGTTACTTGTAGATTTAAACACTTCAAAATTTTCAGAAAAATTTCTGAGCCCCATTCGGGTACAAATAAAACCAAAGTGCTTTTGATACGGGTTTGTTAATGAATAGTTTCAAAACGTAATTGGAAAATGTACAGTAGTATTTACTTTTTACAAATCATGTTCAGAGTGTGAGCCTATGATACGAGTACACGCTTGGCAGCGTCTTCGTATTTCCGTATCTTGTTATTCTAGTTGTCAATTTATTTCGTATGTACAGAGATGTGGAGAAATGTTGAATCAAAAAGTTGTTCGAAACGACCCAAACTTTTATTTCGTGGAGTTGCTTTATATACAGGGTTAATCGTTTTTTGTGGAAAGCATATTAACTTTGATTTCTTCAATGGAACTTCCTAAATATTTTCTGACATGTCGATAGAGCCTCTTTTGTTATTTCAAGAATATAGATATGAGTTGCATATTTGGATGAAAAATAATTGGGGTATTGATTATCAAAGTTTACGAAAATACCGAATCTTTCATTCAAACTGTCTATTCATATTTTTTGTATTGAGATTGAACGTTTTCAATTCCATAAAAAACAATATCATGACATTCCCATGGAGCTTGAACAATATAATTATAAACGTTATTTTGAAGCCCACTATATTCAACTCACATTAGATGATATGAAGTGAAGGTTAATAATGCGGTATTTTGATGCTTTTCTATCATCAATCACTCTACTATTTTTTATCCAAATATGCATTGACCTGTTGTGAAATATATTGGGTGTTCCATTGGAAAAAATCAAAGTTGATGTCCTTTCTGGAAAAATGAATGACCCTGTATATGAGAGAACTTTACGAAATAAAAGTTTGGGTCGTTTGACACAACTTTTTCATTCAACATTTTTTCATATCTCTGAAAACGAAAGAGTTAAGGGGGGATTCCATTTTGACAGGGCAACATCAGTTATCCTGTGTATGTGGTATATTTACTGGGGTTTTATAAACTAGCGCTTCCATAATGACAACACACATAATAATCAATAATGGTTTTGCTTCTAGTAGTTCAGAATTATTCATATACTATTTGGATGCCTCGAGCAAAAAAATGAAAATAGAAAACAAACTGTTTCTGAATCTCCAGAAATAAATACTGTTAGGTATTTTTCAAGTGTTTCTCACTATCAATTTAAACTAACAAACCCGTGTATCAAGCACTTCCAGTATCATTTGAACCCAGTTAGAATAGCTATTGCCTTCAGGAAGTTTGAACAAGCTCTTGAAAAATGTGACTCTTTCAAAAAATAAAACCGCTAGAAACTATTAAAATCCACGATTAACCAAAGAAATACGAATTTGTATTTACAATTTATCTATGATCTAAATAATTTCTATTACTTCTTCATTCCAAACATAAGATCATTTTGATTATCACATGTTCCTATTATAGTTGAAAGGTCTATAAAATGTACAACAGATTCTCGGTAAACAAATTTTCTAACCCTTTAATTCTACATTCTGGAGAAAAACTTACCCCCTCCCTTATCACATCTCTAAGAGAATGTGTCAAATTTCTAGTAAGTCTGTAGAATATTTCCTCATGATGATGACTTCTAAGATGACATATCAACTATAATCAATGAAAATTATAATAATGATATATCATACTTGAATTCCAAAGAAGTAGGTACCTCATTTTCATAGTATATGGAACTAAGAAACGATATCTTGAGTCATTCATCACATGACTAATTGTAATAGTGGATTTTGAGCAGATATATTTGTGTAAGAGTATTACTCAATTGCCTTGCGTTCAGATACCCCATGAAGTATTAAATTCGGGATAAATTGCTTCAGGATGGTTGAAATAGATCATATTATATTGATGAGGTTGAGGTTAATAATACACTGTACCTTATACATTGGTTCAGAAACTTCATGAAGTGCTAAATTACTATATATAATTCAGGAACTGACAACAACCCTATGTCCTCTTCTAGAGACTTATGTGTTTGGGTTCATACGCCCGAATACTGAACCCATTCGAAACAGTATGGGCTAAATTGGAAAACCAAGTTTTCTGACTTGACGGTTCGATTATTAGAGAATAAGGAACTGTGTCTTGAGCAGATTATTGATCAAACAAATTATAATCGTTAGAGATGATTGTGCAATGATTGCACAACACACCATGAATATCATAAAATTTCATGTTATCGTTCAATCTCGATTCTTCATTCTCATTTGGGGCCTTCGTTGTGGGTAAATCACAAGTGATACTGCCTGAATAATTATAACTGACGCTTTATGAAGCAACTAGATTCAAAACTAACTTGAAAAAACATCTGCTTCAGAGATTTTGATAATTCCATTTCTTATTTGAATACCTACTTATAAAAGACGAGGTTGATATTGCATGATTATTTGCATTTTTTTTTTCTTAACTTGTTATATCTTATTATAATTTCATAATTGTATGTATAACAATTTCATAATTGTATGTATATTGTTCATGTATCCCTATTATGAACAACTATGTTTCTTGGGGTAATAAAGTCAATCAATCAATCAATAACGATTAAACCGTAATCCATAGATGCAAAAGTTCGGGTAGTTCGATTTTTTGTTATGTTGTATCTATAGAGGTTTTATTGAAAACTCGATTGAAAAGCTAATGTTATCGACCTCGCCAATGACTTCATCGACCTTGTTATAGTATTTTCGGGGTTCCATTAAAAAAATACCAGTTAATGTGGAATTTTCAGGTTAACGATGCTTTTTAAAATTCTCTACTATTATATTCTGAATGCCCATAAAAATACTAAATTTTTGCCCATTCGAACGTTTCTGCAAGATTTCCTGATATTCTTCCGAAGAAGGTGTGTGCTTTGGAGGTTATAATAGGCCATCTGTTTCGATTGGTCAGACTCTTCGCAATGCGCCCCAATACTTCATCAAATGCTAATTATTCATACAGGTACTTCGAAATGATATGTTGGCGCTAGAAACTAACAAATTAATCACTTGAGCGGCGATCCTTATATATAGATCTTGAGGAAGATGGCGCCCAGAATGAAGGATACGGACGCCAGAATGGTTGGACTACCGTTGCAGTTGTCATTTTGACAGGCACAGACTTCTTGTCGACCTCCAAAGCCAGATCTTTGGTAGCATCGATTGGCGTAAGTGGTGTCCTCCCATCCACAGCTCCTGATTACTCTGCTTTCGGGTTGTACTGGAATAAAAAAGAATGAAAACATGAAGATCAATACGACACTTGAAGGCATTTCCACAAATGTTCATGAAATGAACAGCAACGGTAGATAACGGGAGAAAAACAACTACTTTCCTGGCTTATGCCACGCAGAAACATTGGATTACCTCCTCCCGAAATTAATGTATCGAGTATAAACGAATACTAATGCAAGTTTTTCCATCCTTGATGTCGATTGATTCCGATTTAGCCAGCTAAATGCTCGACACCTTCAGACCGGTTTCGGGATTTTGGCACTCATCAGTGTGGGTATAGTCTCTAGCTAGCTGTCCTAAGACCGCCAGCTAAGCGTAACGTGGTTCATCAAAATGCCATCAGCAATATTTGTAGTCTCACAGGAATCTCCCATGAGCCACATGCCTTTGACAGCATCTAGACTAGAACGAAAGGAACACTCCACGAATCTGAGATATCCACAAATGGAAGTGGTTGGTCCGACGAAATCCCACCGATTGTTCTCAAGAAATGTGCTTCCGATCAAACACCTGTTTCTGCAAGTTGTTCAACTACTCTTACAAATTAGGGATATTCCCGTCCAACTGGAAAATCGCAAGAGTAAAACCAGTTCCAAAAAAAAGGCAAAAACACCCTACCTAGCAACTACAGACCGTTCGCACTGCTATCTATTATCTCAATAAAGATCATGGGGAAAGCTATCAACATCGAGATCATGAAATCCCTGGAACATTCAGGTATTATCAACGATAGGCGATATGGCTTCCGTCATCAGAGATCAACTGGTGACCTGCTCGCTTACGTCTCACATATATGGCAGCAATCCAGCAATCTATTGAAAAATATGGTGAAACCTTAGCCAGAGCACTTGATATCTCCAAGGCATTCGATCGAGTCTGGCACCACGGACTCCTCGCCAAGCTTCCATCTTATGGCTTGCCTCCCCAGCTATGTTCTCTGCTAGCTAGTTTTCTCCCAAACAGGTCTCTTCATGTAGTGGTCGACGGAGTTTTATCTGACTCTCTTATCATGAATTCTGGTGTTCCACGAAGATCAATTCTAGCACCAACACTATTTCTACTCCATATCAACGATTTGTTGGAAGCAACTTCATGTCCAGTACACAGCTTCGCGAATGATAGTACCCTCCATACCACCTTCTCTTTCAGGGCTCCAATACCAGCCAGGCAAATCAGAAACGAACGAGGGAGAAATGTTGATAACATAAATATGGACTTGGCAACAATTCTCGAATGAGGATCCAATAACTTGGTGGATTTTTATGCAAACAAAACACCAGCATGCCTCTTCACTATAGAAAAGCCGATCTCACTGTGCCCAACATGAGCTTTTCAGGAGTAACCATGCCATTGAGGACATCCATTCCGATGCTTGGTATTATTATCAGCAATAATCCTGCTTGGGAAAATCACGTGAGATCAATTGCTGAAAGTGTATCCCAAAAACTCAGTTTTCTATCTCGGGCCAGAAGCTATTTCACTTCCAGTCAGCTCCTTATGATCTATAAGGCACAGCAGATTCGACCTGTCCTGGAATACTGTTTTCATACTTGGAGTGCAGCACCCAAACATACCCTAAAACTGTTGAATTCTGTCCAAAAGAGGGCAATTCGTCTCGTGGGTGATGCCTCGTTCACAAACTCACTCACTTCTCTGGAACACCGTAGAAAAGTTGGTGATCTGGCTCTATTTTATAGATATTTTCATGGACGATGCTCTTCTGAAATATCAACGATTGTTCCTCTCTTGGCAGTCCCCGCGAGATTGACTCGTCGAGTTGAGGCTTCACACCCCTTTGTGGTACTTTGGAGACCTGCAGACCATCTCTTTCCAAAGACTTGTTCATCCAACGAACAGCGAGGCTGTGGTACACATTTCCAAGGGAGGTGTTCCCCGAGGCATATAACCTCCAGAAATTCAAGAAGAACACAAAAATTCTTACGTCAATTTCCTTGGCTCTCACGATGTTCTCTGAACATTACATCAGGATATCCCTTTTCGTGACAATCAAAACATAAAAAAATTGCGTAATTTCAACTACCATTGTTGTTCATTTCATGAACATCATTTGTGGAAATAACTTTGAGTTTTTTTGTATCCGGATATTTCATATGTGTCCTAATTTTCGAAGAAAGCTTGTTGACTACTATATTATGAAATTTTAGTTATTGTGTATCCGTCGACGGGTTCCGAATTAGGAGAGTGTTGCGGGTTGAAATCGCACACACTGTACACATATCTGTGAAGAAAGATATGACTTTCTTTCTCGAGAAAAAATAGTTATTCATTATACATGGGAAAAAAGTAGTAGATTTTATTTCTGGGTTGTGTTGTGTTTTCCACGGGAAAAAAGTAATTTACGAAAAGTGACATTTTATAACCTGCCAACAGAGATGAAATGTCAAACTTTTTTCCCGTCACAAAATGAAGTAATCTTTTTGAAGTAACATTTTATAACCTGTCAACAGAGATGAGATGTCGAACTTTTTCTTTTTTCCAATAACTGTTGTCACGATGAATAGATAATACCTGAGTCTTGTATACGACTTCAATATACTGATGATATAAGTTTTTTGGCAAAGAAAGCCTGCTATTGATCATTTTTATGCACTTCAGGGATTCGAAGGGTACCTTCATTTCCTATTTTTGGGGAAAAAATCCTAGGTTAATTGAAAGTTACTTCAAATCCCTAGGGATTCAAAGTACCACTTTTTTCTCCGAAATCTAGATCATCTTAGTTACTGAGGAGTTGATATGGTAACAATATCAGCACTTTCCATGACGTTTCAGAAATAGAGTACCTACCGTTAAGTGGCATTTTTCATTTTGTTTTCATAATTGTTAACGTTTTGCCTATCCTCAAGTGCATAAAATAATATGAACACTTTAGGACTAAAGTGTTTTGAAATCCCTCGACAAATTATAGCCCGACCAAGTCTAAGGATTTAAAGTAGCACTTCATTTCCTAGGTGTATAATGTACTATTTGAAGTTCATTGCAATGAGCATTGAGGACTCAGAAAAGGAGTTTGCATCGAGTATACCTGTTGAAAGAAACAAAGGAAAAAAAAATTCCTACTTCAGCAATATTGTCACAATTATAATTCTCATCATCGGATGATGCAGTTTTGTCTCACTGCGAATCATAGTATTTCTCTCAGAGAACACTAAGAAACTCAATTTTGCCTCAGTTGAAGAGATCCAATTTCAAGAGGACCCAAGCTCTAGGACATTGAGTTCATATGATATTCGAGTGCATCGGGGTATTTGCTTCTAATGGGGTGAAAAAGAAGTTGGGGGAGCTGATAAATTTTCTGGTTTATACTCACATCCATTTACTTCGAAATCGATAACCTGCTTGATTTTTCTGCACAGCGAATAAGGCTTTCCCTTCCTCTCCGGACAATGTTTCCTTAAGTCTTCTGTAAGTATGTTCTTCGCATCACCGAGGCATCGCTTGTCATTAGCGCTGTTGCATTCATAACACGAAATCGCACTACCTAAAAAAAAACATCAAAAATGATGATAATAATAATAAAAACAATTAATCATTCAATTTCTTTTTGATGATACAAATATTATATAATTGTCAGAATCAAAGATTCATAATGAGAAAAATTCTCCTACACTGTAAAAACATCAATCTCCTGAAAAAAGTTCATAGCCTACGTTTGAATAAAGATATAGAATCACTATTTTTTATTATGTCAGGTGAATGATTGGACATTTTGGGCCCAATATAGTTTCGAATATAAGAATCCAAGGCAATGTCAGAATATGAAACTGAAGAAACACGTTCTCCTATGAATACATTCTCCTGGGCTGGTGGCCGTGAGCGTAGAGTCGCTGGCTGTTGCCCAGGCGGTCCGGGTTCGATCCCCGGCGCGAGCACTGAATTAATTTTCGGTAGTTTCGTTGGGCGGGAGGAGATAGGTGGCCAACCCAACATTCTTGGTACCTAGATATCAATCCTTTGGACTGTCCACGGTTACCAGCCGAGTAGTGCTTCGGATGACACTTAAAAAGCTAAGGTCCCCGTCTTCTTAACTCACACAAGTCTCTGACTTTCGAGGGTTGCTTTGCAACTAAGCTGGCGGTTAAAAACACTTTTAAAACACTTTTTTTTTAATATCAAATCCAACACACATGATATGATTTCAAATTCTGGATTTTTCAACCCAGTTTGAAAAGACGCCTTCCATTTATGCAAAATCGTAAAAATCTATGTGGGTGGCCCGCTTCAAATGAGTCACTCTGTAGATTTTTGTATTTGTACAATTTTATCATTCATCAGAGAGAGAAATCTCGAAGTTATCTCTAGAGAAATATAGATTCAAACATTTCGTGTTTGACTGTTCCAATTGCCATCCTCAGATTTCATTCCATTTGCTGAAAAAAGTATTAGAATTTCAGGGAAGTACTATAATTATGGAGGCGAATTTATCTGTATGTGAAGATATGCTTTTGGAATGGATGCTCTGAATAAATTACTGTTCAGAGTTCTCTTCACAATCCTCGACCATTCTCAAAGGATACTAATCACAATCAGCATCCAAGACCGTTGGGGTAATCAGTGTCGCTGTTGCGTTCATTTGCTACTCTAGAAGATGATTGATTTTCAAGTGCTGTATCCACCAATCGCATTACGTAGATGCTTCCTGTGCATGTCGAAACAATTTCGATCGGAGAAAGCACACATTCTTTATTGTATTAAAACATTATTTATTTTCATATATAACTCACATTATAACAGTTACAGAAAACATAATATTCTGTCATTATCCTCAGCACATGCAAGTTTCTTGTATCTTGGAGTAAGCAGATAGTCTCTAAAATGAATATTTCAAAAATTGTTAATATTTTGTTCCTGCAGAAAATTGGCCAACACGAGCCACGCATCTTTTTTTTTATTATCGCTTGGGGCGCACGAAAGGGAATCCCTATAATGTTCACAGAACATCGTGCGTTCCTAGGGAGGATAGTTATAGAAGGTAGGTATTGGAATTTTTTTTGAACTTCTGGAGATTATATGTTGTTGGGAATACTTCCTCAGGCAATGAATTTCAGAGCCTAGCCGTTCTATGAATGAAGGAGTTTTGATAAAGTGCTGATCGACATCTTTCGAGGTTGACAACGAAAGGATGTGCTGACTGGGCTTGTCTAGTTCGTCTGACTGGTATTGCTAGTGAAGGGATGATAGCAGAGATTGCTGAAGAACATTTCCCGTGGAAGTATCGATAGAAAAATGAAAGGTCGCCGACCTTTCTACGGTGTTCCAATGATGTCAGAGAGTGAGTGAGTGTGGCGTCACCCACCAGGCGGATGGCTCTTCTCTGGATGGAATCTAAAAGCATCAGCGTATGTTTTGGTGCTGAACCCCATATGTGGGAACAGTATTCCAGAACAGGCCGTATCTGCGCTTTGTAGATCATGAGGAGCTGTTGAGGTGTAAAGTAGCTTTTTGCACGAAACAAGAATCCGAGTTTTTGTGAAGCAGCTTTTGCAATGGATCTGACATTATTATCCCATGAAAGAGTGTTGCTGATGGAAATACCGAGCATAGATATAGTGGGCTTGGTGGGGATGGTGGATGGGGATGGTTACAATATCGGGCATACTTAGTTCCGCCTTTCTAGAGAAAATACAGGCTTGAGTTTTGGTGGCGTTGAATTCAACTAGGTTGGTGGTTCCCCAGGCTGTGATTCCAGCAAGGTCTTCATTGACAGCATTTACCTGCCTGCGCCGTGAGTTCTTAGTTTCCTGGGAAGAAATAGGAATTCTGGAAGAGAACGCAGTATGGAGGGTACTATCATCTGCAAAGCTGTGGATGGGGCAAGTTGTTACTCCCAACAGATCATTGATATGAAGAAGGAATAATGTTGGTGCCAAAATTGATTCTTGTGGAACGCTGGAATTGATGCCAACTGTATCAGACGATACACCGTCCACCACCACATGAAGCGATCTGCCTGAAAGAAAACTTGATAAGAGATGGCATAGCTGAGGTGGTAAGCCGTATGATGGTAGTTTGTGGAGGAGTCCTACGTGCCAAACACGGTCGAATGCTTTCGATATGTCCAACGCGATAATTTCAATATTATTCTCAAAGCTCTTTTCTGGATAACGAATATACTTTGCATCAAGGTCTGGCTGCCTGAGCCCCAGAAAGGAAATCCATATCGGAGATGACTCTCCATGAATGAATAGTATCCTTGATTAATGTATGCAGGTATTGCTGCTGAAAATCCGAGTTCGTGAGATATGAGATTTATGGCGAAGCAACCATAAAAGCAGTAATTTGCGTATCAAATTTCAAATTACTGTCTATGAATATACCAAGGAATCTAGTTACAGGCTTACTTTCAATCATGCGTTCACCTCTCGGTTCACCTAGTATTACTTGTTCTCAGTCTCACTTGGATATTATCAGATTTGTTTCAGAAACATTCAGCGATAACACACCATTTTTCAATTTTTTTCTAAATCAGAGTGGATAGATCGAGTCAAAGTATTAGGATCTTTATTACGCTAAAGTACCGTGGTGTCATCCACAAACAAGGTAAATGCTCCAGATATATCAAGTTTTGTCATATCGTTTTTATATAGCAAGAATAAAATTGGGCCTAGGACTGACCCCTGAGGAACTCAACGTACAATTTCTTTACAATGAGAAGTGTTCTTGCTTAATTTCATTCCTTGACTTCTACCAGTAAGATAAGATCTGAACCATTCTAAGACTGTTACTCGAAATCCATAATGGAAGAGTTTCAGCAGCATCAGGATTTCATGTCCCACGCAGTCAAACGCCTTAGAAAGGTCCAGAAATACTGCCGCAGCCACTTCCTTATCATTTAGGTTTGTGTAGACGTTTTTGAAGAAATGAAAGATGGCGTCAGTAGTATTTTTTTGTGTCGGAAACCGAACTGTACGGGAGCTAAAATTTTATGTTTGTCCATGTTGTTCAACTAAACCACGACGTTTTATTGGAATTGATGAAAAAACAATTGAAAAATGAATAGAAAAGAGATTTTTATTGGGAATTTTATTTCCTAAAATAACACAAGGAATCACCTCTTGAAGTTTTTCGGTGTTATTCAGATACACCGTGTAGAACTTACAGATTCATTTTGCATATAATATATAGGAACCATAAAGAATTACTCTGAAGCGATTAAACAATAACAATTTATGGAAGAGATCAGATATGAAGTGCGTCATTATTTTCCAGAATCAATATTTCGATTTATTATATCAATTCATTGATATTGAGTTTAATAATAACTCAAGATTACGTAGTCAATTGAGAAAAATATTGGATGCACTTATATTTACAAACAATATGCTTATAAGAGATAGTAATGACTAAAATTAGTAATTTTCTGGAAATATCGATAAGTGGACACATAAACAGAAATACGAACTACATAATAGGTAAATAATGATACTTATTGAAGAATATTCTTTATCATCATCTAACTTTTGAGAAATTTCACCTTCAAATATTTGCCTATATCTAATGAATGATCGGACATCTTGAAAAATGGTGCTGAGCAGTTACTGAGACAAATACCGAAGAAGCAGAATTTGTTTTGGTTTGCCCAAAAGATGTTACTCCTTAAATCGAAGCACTCTATCAAATTTCAAATCCATATTTCATTGAAGAGATGTTTCAGTTATTATTCAAGAAACAAAAACGAGAGGAAATTCCAAATCATGACGCCCTTTATAACTATGTGTTGCCCAAGAATTAAGGAGAAAATGAGTCCGTTGACCCAACAAAATATTTTGTCCTGTATCCACAGCGACAAATCTTGTAACAAAACCTTTGTGACAAAATGGTTGTTAGATTAACGAAAATGTTGTTAGAATGACGAAACTTTCACACTATACCTACAAGTTGATCAATGTGCTGTGCTCGGTCTTCCACTCTTCAGGACTTCCTGTTATAATATCTATCAATCATTTTTGCACTGTGAATTACTCTGAATCTCCAAAACGAAAATATTCTAATTGAAAAGGGAACAGATAAACCGAACCAAACGACATGGACAGAATCGGCGTAAATTATGAGTTGTTATCTCGGTTGTGATAATATTACAAACAATTTCTGAAGAGAACCATGAAATAATTTCATAATCAATTCTGCCAAAACCTAAAGGAGAAGTACGTGATGAGGTTGAATAAGATAATTCAGCCAAGAAAATAGAAGAAATGTCAAGGTGTAGTAAAGAAAATGTAATCAAAGACATAATAAGAAAATATCAGGAAAATGAACAAAACAGGGCCGGCTTAAGTGAATGCAAACAAGACTAAATTGATCATGAGAATTCAAGTGTGCAAAATGTTATTCCGTTCAAAATTAGTTTGGTTGTTGACACATTTGGGTTATTGATACATTTTTGAATTTCTGGAATTCCCAAGAGGTTTAGCCGTCGACCTTTATTGCGAATGTGGATAACCTCCGTATTGGAGTTAACATCAAAAGAATGACTGGAATCAA